ATCATCATCATCATCATCATCATCATCATCATCATCATCATCATCATCATCATCATCATCACCACCACCACCACCACCACCACCACATTTATTGTCATCAGCGGCAGCACCAGCCACCACCAGAAACAAACAGTAATAATAAAAATTATCATTATTGATACTGGCTTGTTTAATGTTTCATTAGCGTGTAAAGATTATATATATATATATATATATATATATATATATATATATATATATATATATATATATATATATATATATATATATATCAACACCATTTTTTTTAAATAAAGTAATGTTTATAAACTAATTTCTCTGTTACCCAATAGTAAAACGAAGTTATGAGTTTGGAAAACGCACGGTCGAGTGTGTTAGTTTGGGGATAAAATATTCCGATTCCATGTGCATGATTGAAGGACATGAATACAACCTGCGTTTCCTAGGAGGAAAAAGGGGAAGGGGGGGGGGTGGAGAGGGGTTGATGACAGCCAGAGTATTTTTTTTTTTTTGAAATCTAAATTAAGGATGCAATTGTTCGTTATTATAAAGTCCCACCCCGGCTGTTAAATAACTCCCTCCACCCACCCCAGGTTAATTCAACTTTGAGTGGGTACTAGGTACAGTCCTAGGAAGTAAAGGCGGCTGGCGTAATGTTGATCACATCACCCATAAAGTGTCGTTTAGTCTCTTAAATATAGGTCTAGCTTACTATTCCTAATATAACTTTAGGGGTTAAAAAAGGTTCTTTGCTTTGACCCCGGCTATTGTCGGGCGCCCTGATATAACGTAAGGTTTTACTGGGTTTCTAGGACGTGCCCGTGATATTCTCAACCAAATGGTGGCACTTTGTGTCACCGGGTGTTGATCGTTTGTTGTGTGGTCCTGGTGAGGTTCAACGTAACTCAGTCAGTTGGGGCATTTATCTCCCTCTATTTGTTATAAGCCTTTGCGTTAGCGCAGTCGATAGGAGGCTCGCTTTCAAATCCAGCTTCGACTCGCTGCAGCCACGGTCCTTGTTCGAAACCGTGCGGTTCCCGGGGTTCACCCAGCCTCTAGGAAATGGGTGCGAGAGTGACACTCTAGGGTAAATAGAGGTACGTCTCTGTAGCTAAAGAGTTACGTGCAGAAGGTGACACAGGTGGACAGTTTCTTATCAGCTGTCCGTACTGGTGGCTTATGAACACTTATGGTTTATATCCGTGTTCAATGACGCTGGTTCACATCTCCCGACTTTACCTTTTTTTACCCATATATTATTGTAAAAAGATAAAAGAGGAAGACAACAGACAAAAATACATCTCAAACACCGTTTATCTCTCTGTATTTGTTCTAAGCGGTGTGCCTGTAAACACATACATATGGTAAAGAAGACAAGAGGAAGGCAACAGATACAAATTCTTATTTTAAATAAAAAACATTTATCTCTCTGTATTTGTTCTCAGGTGTTATTGGTTTTGTCTGTATGCCTACTTACTACACCTAGTGTAATGTTTCATTCATTATGTAGAAAAGAGCGATCAACCCTGAAATTCACAATAAACGGAGAGACGATATAACAGCTAACACATTTTTCTTATAGTGGACACGTAGTAAACAGATAATGGCAGAAGTCCAACAGAAATTAAAAAGAGAATAGAAATGACTAAAACTGTCTACAATGAGATGGTTAAGTTATTTTAAAAAAAAACAAAAAAAACAAGCACATTAAAAATGAGAATCGTCAAATGTTTTGTGAGCTTAACTTCGACAATGAACAAGCAACTTGAAAATTAAATTGAGTCTCTGAAAATGTTGATATACCTAAGAATAGGTTGAACTTGATTTTTAAAAAAATATAATACAGTGGTTCTGGGAAGATTGCGAATGAAAAGAGAGTTACTGAAAAAAAAGACGATTGAAATGTTCTGGCCATATAAAAAAAAAAAAAAAACTGAAGCGAGAGGTCAAGGGCAAGAAGTAGACAATGATGCAAGTGGGAGGAAAACATTAGGAGATAGACGTACAACAGTCTGAGAGAATGTACAACAAGGGCAAGAGGCACATCGTGATGCAACTAACCATCAGTGTGGAGAATGCAGCTGATTGATTTAGTAGAAACCATTTTCCCGCCTTTAGGCGTAATGAGCATATAGGGCTAGACATGTTTTATAGACCAAACAGCACTTGGTGTTAAATGACTAGCGACTACTACTAAGCCTAACCCCAAACCCCTCCCCCCCCCCCCTTTCTGTCCTTATACTATTGGACGTTCTGGAGATTTCCCTACCAAACTCGAGGGCCCCATGATTGATAAAATAACAGAAAAGAACCCTTAGTGCATTGCAACGCATCCACCCTGCCAGTCCGAAGGTCGTGGGTTCGAATCCGCACTGAGAATGGTATCTGTTTCTTTTTTCCAAAACACTTTCTTCCTTGTGTTAACCAGCTGTTAACTCTGACGGAAAGTTCTGGGTGTTCATCCACTTCTGGACTACCGTCATGTTCCAGAACCTGAGCGTTGCGTATGCATCCGTTTTTTTTTTTTTTTTTTTTAGATCTGACTTATTTGTATGCAGACTGCTGGTTCTTTGCCTCTCAGGCAGACGCACTCCGAGTTGGAAGGAAGCTCCCAATTAGTCGACTCTTACGACATGTTTTTGGGGTAGGCAGTGGGTCTATTCTTGTTTACCTATAATAGGGCCCCGGAACCCACACGGGGATTTAAAAAAACTGGCTTTAGGTTGTCCACTGGACCCCGTATAAAACGGCTACCATGTAACATCCTGGAAAACTGTCTAGCGAGTGGTGATTAAAATATCAGTCTAGCATCATTTGTCCAACCGATGTTGTGTTGTCGTTAAAAAGCTTCTTGACTTTACTTCACAAGAAAGACTCCCACCTGCTGCAATTTCAACTTTCAAATTACAATTTTTGGAGAGTTACCTATTAGACCCTCCATTTGGCTATTGTTTGCCACCAATTTGGCCTTTGTTTGCTACCCATTTGGCCATTGTTTGTCACCTATTTTCGCCCTTCTTTTTGTGGCCACTCAAAAAAAACAAAAAAAACAACGACAAATATTGTCACGCAAAAAAAGAGGGGAGGGGGGTACCGGGAAAAAACAATTAATTCTCCAAATGACCTAAACAAAATATATAGTAACCCACAGGAAGAGTGAGCTGAGTGAGTCCAATCTCACGATGACCGCAGAACGAGCGTCCAACACCTGGTGACACAGGGCCTGCGTGTACCAACAAGCGAGCCGGTCCAGCTACCGGGTGGTAAGAGCGTTTTGTTAACACATCGGTTGTTGATCTCAGTGGCTGAGGGTAAAGTGTGTACGCATCAGCTGTTTCTGTATATCCCATCCCATCATCAGTTTAACTGGTGAATACTGGTCAACTCACAACAGTCTGGTGCCGGGTCACCTTGGACAGCTCAGTCAGTACGTCGGCAAGGCTGGACACGACATGGATACAAGAATATTACATATCTTGCCGTACAAATGAAAATGAGTACGGCAACCACAGGACAAGCTCATGAATCTTTCACAGTCCCCTAAGTTTTCTGCATTTGGGCCAAGATCAACATTAAAACGTTCAAATTTTCAATCGAACATGCTGGTTCTGTTGACGAGAAGTGTACTTGACGTCTCACAAGTGCATCGCTTTAACTCGTGGACCAAGCTCTGATGTCCACTGTAGTCCCGTTTTCCAGGTACGTAAATTGTAAGTTGATATATTTATATTTGTTATCGTTTGATCCAGAGTTAAGTTGGTGGGGAAAAACAATCAGAAAAATTGATTTTGATACAGCCAGAGGTCACCTGATGAAAATCCGAATTCAAGAAATGACGCTTGCCACTATGATTGAATAATTATACGTTTGTTTTATGTCTTATTTCTTGTTTCCCTTGTAATATTTATACTTTTAGGTCGTATATCTTCTCCTTTTCTGTAATAAATATACATTAATTATGTCTTACTTATTCTTCCTCTCTAAAAAGTATGCGTTTGTTATGTCTTATTTCTTCTTTTCCCTCTAATAGTACACGTTTGTTATGTCATATTAATTCTCCATCGTCTGTAATACGTATACGTTTGTGGTCTTATTTACACTCTCCGTCTTTAGTAATAACACTTGTCTTATTTCTTCTCCTTTTCTGAAATAATTATACGTTTATTATGTCTATTTTTTTCTCTCTCCTGATGTAATAATTATATGTTTCTTATGTCTGTTTATTCTTCCCTGATGTAATAATTATTCTTTTATTATGTCTATTTTATTCTCCCCTGATGTAATAATTATACGTTTGTTATGTCCTATTTATTCTTCTCTAATGTAATAATTATATGTTTGTCTTTTTTGATTCCCCTCCCGACTTTTTTTTGGAAATAATTATACGTTTGTTATGTCTAATTTATTCTTCCTGTCCTGGTTCCGGGGCTCCATTTTGGAGAACAAAGAATAGACACACAGTCCCCCTGCCCCAATAAGTACTGTCATATTTGGCTTTTCTTTGAATTCAGAGGTCATCTGTCCGTGGGGTAAGGGATCAGCAATGTTCTGATTCAGCCGGGTCACTGTGGCTTGGAAGGCAATGAAATAGTGGACAAATTAGCCAGAAGCGGCAGTTACATTGTACAACCAAATAGCGACTTCTAGTATCCAAGAAAGGTGGCTGGATACCCACACCAGATTTTCTCCCCAAGACTCACTTTATCGCCTCTCTAGAGAGAGACAGTCTATTATATTCAGACTAAGGACAGGGCACAACAGATTTCGTCAACATATGTTCAAATTTTTCGGTGTAGGAAATACGGAGAAGTGTCCCTGCAGCGCGGCACCCGAAAATGCTGAGCATGTGCTCCAACACTGTCAACTGTATGCTGACAACAGAGACGCAATCTGGCCTGTTCCAACCACAGTAAAGACAAAACTGTATGGTACACAAGAGGATATGGATTGCACGATAGCTTTCATAAAGGCTACCGGCCTTCTGATATAAGTTTTCTGACAGAAGGATCGAAGAAGAAGAATGTCTAGGAAGTGAAATATAAGCAGAACTTTCCAAGTTTTCAGCTGGTTAACATTTTAAAGAAAAAAAAAACGTTTCCCGCATTTATTTTTGGTCGCATTTATCATCTTAGATAATAATAAGTATCATTATGTTAGATAATATTCGTCATGACATTGTATCATTTTTATAACGTAGATGTGTGATGGATGTCCACTGATGTATGGTTGTCTGCTATTTATACATTTTCAGATTTCTGGACAGCAACCCGGACTTTATATTTTCCAGAATTTTCTTCAACATTTTGCAGTCATCTGGCGACACGCTGATATGGGTCAGACTGTCAACAACTATGATGCTACCAGGTTCAGGCTATATAAACAACAAACTTGAACAACTATTTTTTCTGTGACATAAGCTTGGATATTACCTGTTCTTGTGTAGTGTCCGTGACAAATGGCCTCTTTCAGACATTAGCTGTGACAAAGGCCTTAGAATGGCTGAAAAACTCAACTTAGTGTGCATTCTATAGAAGATCTTGGCAGAGATAAACGAAACAACAGTGGCTCTAGCTGGTGCAGCATACAACGCTTCGTAAAATCACCTTCATGTTTGTCTCAGGGCATGCTGGTGTGAAAGGCTGTAGGAGAGCAGACACCCTGGCTGGCAGTGTAACTGTCAGGAGTGGACCATCTACGGACAGGAGAATCATCATCAGTGCCATACAAGAGACTAAACGCTGCGCGGCTTTCCGTTTTCTCGACAGTTATTTCTCATCGAATAGACTGCATACCCTGGGTGTACGTTGGAGTTGCGAGACAGGAAAACCATACAGGAGCCATCTGTCCTACATCAACAAGAACAGAATGTGAGCTGTCAGCCTAAAAACATACTCAAGAGGACATCAAATTGCTTATGGCCATGTACTGCATGAAGATAATATTAAAATGAACAAGGAACATTCAACTGTAAAACAACTTTATCAAGGCAGCTCTATCGTTCGCAGGATCCTTGTTAACAACTTTACCAGGGCGGCTCAATCATTCGCATCATCCATGGAAACAGCCCTGAAGCAAAGTCAGCATGCTACAGTGTAGAAGTGACAACGACGAACCGTGAGTAGACATTTATGTTGTCTACTTCTGCTCGTGATCTATGTCTCTTTGTAGTCTACTTCTGCGTATTGTCTACTGTTGTGTGTCTTTAACGAATTTATAAATTTACGATTTCATCTATAATCGCGTTTATCTAAAGCATCACCACCGATATTTGTCCTCATAACTTGTAAAGCCGTCATCAGCACACTTACATATTAGCACTTATAGTGCCCCCCCCCCCCCCCCAATCCCTGCTCCCGGTGTTCGCTCTGGGGCGACGAGTATCCGCGCTTGGCTGTAAACATCCCCGATTCTGTTTGTTACTAATGGCGTCATGTTTTGTTTTGTGTCATTGTGTGTCAGGTTTTGCGTCATTGTTTGTTTGACGTCCATTGTTCAAGTTCTGCATGTCATGTTTGGAGCCATTCACTACTCTGACAACCAGATTCCTAGGTAAGAAAGAGAGAGAGAGAGAGAGAGAGAGAGAGAGAGAGAGAGAGAGAGAGAGAGAGAGAGAGAGAGCCTTTCCATGTCGTCAACAGCTGAAACTCGGAAATTAAGCAAAATTCACCAGAACCTGGTCTAGATATCTTAGACGAATTTTGACAGTTTAACAAATCCATCAGTGATCAGAATAACAACTTGACTGGGCATAAAAACTAACACAATACAAGTATGAAGCAAGAATGTTAAAAGTAATTAGGCACGCATGATAAACAGTGAATATTAGAACATGAAACATCTGTGACCTAAGTAATAATGAACCAGCACTTTTAGAATGTATGTTGTCACACACAAAAACCATATTCATACCAGCACTGTGCTACCAGAGCCAGACTTGGACATTATCAAAGGCTAATCTACGTAAAATCAAGACCAGTGGAATGATTAGCCTGAGAAGAGGCGCCAAACAGACAAAAAAAAGTGAAGAAATGATAAAAGCGGTAACTGAATTTGTATACCTAATGACAACATAAACATCATGGCAACAATTGAAGAATATCTAAACTAATTGTCTAACAACGCATCTTGGCACCAGATCCACAGGAACTAAATGGAAGAGAGAAGTTTTTTAGAAGTTTTTTAGAACAACGAAGTTAAAGAAGCTGTTACAATTGAAAAAGGAACTACGTATACAAAGTATAGCTAAGAGCTCGCTCAGACAAAGACTACATTAACTATAGATAGCACGGCGACATTCTGCAAGAATAATGAAACAAGCTAAGCAAAAGTCCTGGACCACGTATTATGAAGATCTTAGCAGTGTTTGTGGAGAGTATCAGCAAACATTGTGTACAGCCATAAAACAGATTATTTGAAAAAAAAAAAAAAAAGTACAACGAGCAATGTGAATATTAAGATTAACATAGATGAGAATATGGACTTCCTCAAAAATACATAGAAAAGAACTGCAAACAACACAGAAGGCTATGTACAAAGACAGAAACATAAGAAGTAGCTAAGCGATAACACCTGGACGAGGATACAAGAATTAAAACAGGTACAATTAACGCTCCTATCCTCAGAAGATATATCTGCGTACGAATACCACAAACAAAAATACACTGTTGCATAAAGAGTTGAAATCAAGCACACAAAAGATGAACAGAACTTTATATACAGCCTGGCACCCGATGATGCATCAGCTGCCAAAACTGAAAAAAAAAGCTGTGTTCAATATCATTATACAACAAGATAATCATATGCCTACATCCAATACACCCAGCAAAGACAAACAAGATAAACTACAGTTATCCGAAGACCATCGAAAACAACAAAAGGCAAAGCATTTTAAAGAAATAATAAATAGACCGCGGCTTGATTGTTTTCAACGTGGATGAAGATTACCATGCCTCCACTAGATAACATCACGTCAGTCATTCACATTTGAAGAAATGAAGTCAGCCATTAAAAAACTGAGCAACGTAAAGCTGTTGGTGATGACATCTTAGAAGAAGTGCTTAAAGCGGCAGTGTTTGCTACAGCTGAATGACAAACTCTGGCAAAGCGAATCCCTACAAAAATATTGGAAAGATTGAGACTGCCTAAAATCATTATTTGTTTTGATTGCAATAACTTGCGTGGTATCACCCTACTTTCAGTGCCAGGATAATTTCTTTTAATAGAATATTACATGAGGGATTGTACAAGTCTAACGATGAAAGACTAAGAAAGGAGCATGCAGGCTTCAGATCAAAACGGTCATGCTTAGACCACAACTGCACCCTCGGTGTAATCACTGAAGATTCTGTAGAAATCCAAACGCAATTAATCATCTTCTTTGTCGACTTTCGAAAAGCCTTCAACTGTATTCCCTGTCATTCACTTTGGAAACTACTTAAAATCTATGGTTTCCATCCAAATTCATCAACGTCATACAATTCTTCTACAACGAAACACGTTGCACTGTAAGAACAGAATCCGTCAACTCTAATAGGTTCCAAGTGGAAAGATGAGTGAAACAAGGGTGTGTCCTATCACCGAAGCTCTTTGGAATAGCAATCAATCGGGTCATGAGCTAATGCACAAACAACATAAATATGAGTATCAAATGGGCTGAGAATATTCTAGAAGACCTTGACTTTGCTGACGACATGGTACTTTTGTGTACGCATCCAGATATCCAAGAGAAAAACAAACCATTGATTTTACTAGTAGCTTAGACGATATCAAACTAAAACAACGAAATTTTAGAAAAAGTCTACAGCTTTACATACCTAGTGGGTAAGATGCCTTCAATAGAGGATTTAGCGCCCAGAAATATAATCTAGAATTGCACTTGCAGTTAGTGCCTTTAACAAATTGTCAAACAACTGGAAGTCAAAGATACTCAGCAAACACACAAGAACTAAAGATCTTGAACTCTTGTGTGATTGCAGTGTTAACTTATGGATGCGACAGCTGGAAAGCAACGGTAGCTGTAGAAAATAGAAAAATTAGTCAATTTTGAGAACAACTGTCTCAAGTGAGATCGAGTCCTGAACTCAACAAGCAAACTTTCCCTGATACTGAAACACCCAGCAATAGAAATGAAGACTAAATTATAAACGCAAACATTTTACCAAATTGTGATACATGGGCCAAATATTGGCTTCTGGTTCATCTGGCTCATCTGTCTAAAGATTCGACATTCCAGCATTTAGGATACGCCCACGTTTGCTCCGTGTACCTTTTCAACAGAGGGCGAACAGTTATCAATCCTAGACATCAACTACAGGACAAGAGGAAACTGACGAGGTGTGAAAAAGATGTTCCAGAACAGCGGACTCTTTTGAATTCTAAGTTCTCTAAACACCATCATCACAGCAGAGGACGATGTCTACAAACCGTACGTACATGTGTGTGTTGTGTGTATCTTTATGTTGTCTACCTCTGCGTGTTATCTATTTCTCATACATCTACAATGGGTATAGTTCACCCGGTATCTCAGCGTAGGTTAAGACAAAGTCGACACCTCGGCCCGATTAGCACCCCCCCCCCCTTCCCTGACCGTTACCTTTACACCAGCGTAAATGTGCTGCCTTAATTGTTTAGGTCATATCGTCTTCATCAGTACTATCATCATCATCTTGACCGTTCTCAGCTGCTGTTGGGCATCCTTACAGTAGAGGCAGCGATGGTAGCAGTGACAGTAAATGTCATTATCCCCGATCGTCATACATTGCGTAAATATAATAGTTCTTCTCCTTCGTCTTCTCTACCTTTTTCTCCATCTTCTTCTCTGTCTTCTACTTCTTCTTCTTCTTCTTCTTCTTCTTCTTCTTCTTCTTCTTCTTCTTCTTCTTCTTCTTCTTCTTCTTCTTCTTCTTCTTCTTCTTCTTCTTCTTCTTCTTCTTCTTCTTCTTCTTTTTCTTCTTCTTCTTCTTCTTCTTCTTCTTCTTCTTCTTCTTCTTCTTCTTCTTCTTCTTCTTCTTCTTCTTCTTCTTCTTCTTCTTCTTCTTCTTCTTCTTCTTCTTCTTCTTCTTCTTCTTCTTCTTCTTCTTCTTCTTCTTCTTCTCTCTTCTCTTCTTCTTCTTTTCTTCTTCTTCTTTCTTCTTCTTCTTTTCTTCTTCTTCTTTTTTCTTCTTTTTCTTCTTTTCTTCTTCTTCTTCTTCTTTTTTCTTTTTTTTCTTCTTCTTTCTTCTTTTTTTCTTCTTTCTTCTTTCTTTTCTTTCTTCTTTCTTCTTCTTTCTTCTTCTTTTTCTTCTTCTTTTCTTCTTCTTCTTCTTTTTTCTTTCTTCTTTCTTTCTTCTTCTTTCTTTTCTTCTTCTTTCTTTCTTCTTTTCTTCTTCTTTTCTTCTTCTCTTCTTCTTCTTTCTTTCTTCTTCTTTCTTCTTCTTTCTTCTTCTTTCTTCTTCTTTCTTTCTTCTTTTCTTTTTCTTCTTCTTTCTTCTTCTTTCTTCTTCTTTCTTCTTCTTTCTTTTTTCTTCTTCTTTTTTCTTCTTCTTTCTTCTTTCTTCTTCTTTCTTCTTCTTTCTTCTTCTTTCTTCTTCTTTCTTTTTTCTTCTTCTTTTTTCTTCTTCTTTTTTCTTCTTTCTTTTTTCTTCTTTCTTTTTTCTTCTTCTTTTTTCTTCTTCTTTTTTCTTCTTCTTTTTTCTTCTTCTTTTTTCTTCTTCTTTTTTCTTCTTCTTTTTTCTTCTTCTTTTTCTTTTTTTTTTCTTCTTCTTTTTTCTTCTTCTTTTTTCTTCTTCTTTTTTCTTCTTCTTTTTTCTTCTTCTTTTTTCTTCTTCTTTTTTCTTCTTCTTTTTTCTTCTTCTTTTTTCTTCTTCTTTTCTTTTCTTTTTTCTTCTTTTTTTTCTTCTTTTTTTTTCTTCTTTTTTCTTCTTCTTTTTTCTTCTTCTTTTTTTCTTCTTCTTTTTTCTTCTTCTTTTTTCTTCTTCTTTTTTCTTCTTCTTTTTCTTCTTCTTTTTTCTTCTTCTTTTTTCTTCTTTTTTCTTCTTCTTTTTTCTTCTTCTCCTCCTTGTCTTTTTTCTTCTCCATTTCCCTCCCCCTACTTCTCCTCCTCCTCCTCTTTTTTCTTCTCCTCCCCTTTCTCTCATACTACTTCTCCTCCTCCTACTTCTCATCCTCCCTCCTCTTCTTTTTTTTTCTCTCTTTCTTTCTTTTTTTCTTTTTTTCCTTCCTTCCTTTCTATTTTTTCTTTCTTTCTTTCTTTCTTTCTTTCTTTCTTTCTTTCTTTCTTTCTTTCTTTCTTTCTTTCTTTCTTTCTTTCTTTCTTTCTTTCTTTCTTTCTTTCTTTCTTTCTTTCTTTCTTTCTTTCTCTTCTTTCTCTTTTCTTTCTTTCTTTCTTTCTTTCTTTCTTTCTTTCTTTCTTTCTTTCTTTCTTTCTTTCTTTCTTTCTTTCTTTCTTTCTTTCTTTCTTTCTTTCTTTCTTTCTTTCTTTCTTTCTTTCTTTCTTTCTTTCTTTCTTTCTTTCTTTCTTTCTTTCTTTCTTTCTTTCTTTCTTTCTTTTTCTTACTGTTTCTCTTCTTCTTTCGTTCGCTTGAGATAAATTATCCATATCGACAATGCTGTCTCTAGTAAGAACTTTATTATAGTTTGTAATTCACGTAGCAGTCCTTAAAGTTTGGCGTCTGCCAGTGTCTCTCTTGGCCAGACATTTTGCATAGAAATGCCGCATTTGGAACAGTCTTGGAGAATTGATCTGTTTTCCAATCTGCCAATCCACGTGTGCACATGGCTGATTCGCCATCTTCAATTTTAAATACACGTGGCTACGAAGTCGTCTGTGCCCCGTTCTAAAGCGTAGAACAATGACTTGCTTTGATCTGTTTTCCAATGTGCCAATCCACGTGTGCACATGGCTGATTCGCCATCTTCAATTTTAAATACACGTGGCTACGAAGTCGTCTGTGCACCGTTCTAAAGCGTAGAACAATGACTTGCTCTGGTCTGTCCATATAACGGACAGTCGCGTGCCGCTTTTGCTGGCTTTCTGGTTAATGTGATTATTCTTTTCTTCTGTTAGGAGTCTGGTACGTCATGTTCTTCTTTATCTGCATCTTGCTTAGCTAGTTTATCAGCTCTTTCATTTCCACAAACTCCACCCTGGGATGGTATTAACTGCATAGTTGACTTTACACCGGTTGCCTTGTTCGGAGCGTAGTTTCTATATACCAGGTAATTGTCCAGATTAGAGTGCCTAAATTACCGCTTTTGCATCTATCAAGGTTGTGAAATATGGCGTATATTTAACAGTTTCTCTGCTGCCATTTCGATGGCTTGAGCTTCTGCATCATGTTGTCACAGTGTTAATAATTTGGCTGTATATCTGGTATTATTTGGATGCTGAACATACACTCCTGCACCTTCATTTCTGCATGCGTTTTGTGCTGACAAATCTGTGTAAACACGGACCCAAAGATTGTGTGGGTATTCGTCATCAAATAGACCGAGGGTGGCTGTTTTACGTTGCACACTTTTTTTGTTCTTCCTTTTTGAATACTGCTCTCACTTTGTCTTGATGTGTAT